TCCTGAAGCAGCACTGGGTGTTCGCGGCTGTCGAGATGTGGGGCCATGCGGGCTTGCACCCTGCTTTTTGTGGCACCAACACCCACGTGCAGATGTTGCTGCTGCGCCCCCATCCAGGGGCTCAATAGGGGGTTTGACTTGGTGGTGCCCAGAGGCCTCGTGGATGACGTGTCGTTCCAATGGGTCGGGCGCTTGGCAAGGCAGGCGGCGATGGTGGTCAATTCTGTGGTGGCGTTCGCCAGCAATGCCCGCCCGCTTGGCTTCCTCATCCAAGTGTCTAAGTCAAAACATCTGGCGTCGCCTACGGAGGCTGCGAGAGCTGTAAAGGCTCGCGCATGTCAGCTCAAGCTTAAAGTCGTTTAGGATTGCCCGCAACCTTGGTCATGGCATGTTCGCTTGAGGGGCGTCGCACAAAACTACTGAGCGCAAGCGTCTTGGGGCGGCCTTGGGTAGACGTGGAATGCCAAGGGCCCTCAAGAGGGCCAGCGGTTTGGAAGTTCGTGCCTCGTGGCGCACTGGAGTGTTACCGTCCAGCTCAGGTCTTGTCAGGTGAGCCAGTAAGAATCAGAAAAGACCTGTCCTCCCTCACGGCCGTCACGTGCATTCAGAAAGACAGTGTGTGTGTGTGTGATCCAATGTTTGACGCCACCTGCCCGCTTGTAGTCAGGTATGCCAGCTGGATTTCGGACGGTAGGACCTCTCCCAAAATGCTCACAACGGCTTTGAGTGCCAACACGGCTAGGTCGGGTACCCAGGGTTCGTGAAGGCAATGCTTTGGTCCGATCTTCATTGCCGCGTAGGATAGGGTGGAATATGGTTACGCCGCACACGCTCAGTGCCGATGCAGGTGAACACATCTCCCTATATGATTACTCCCCTCACGCGGTTAGGAGTTTAGTCAGAGATGGAGTTGAGCGGTGGCTGCGGCGGGGGATCCCGTTTCATTGGCCTGAGGCGTTTGGCAGCGAGTGTTGTTGGGCGCGAGTGATGCGTCTGGCTATTTTGGCCCTCCCTGCAGGTGCTCGGCAAGGGTCTCTCAAGGCTCTTTGGGCTGGTGGGCTGCGACCACCTGCGGGCAAGTTTGCTGCCCGCCTGTCCATCTGCTGCGTAAACCTTCTGCCAGGCTCCGCAAGGCATTATGGGTCAAAATTTCTATGAGCGTCAGCATGCCCTCGCGTCGGGAAAGGAGGACAGTGGCGACCTTACATTCCCTGACGACGTGTGGGAACACATGCAGGCCTTGCGGGACAGAGGGGAAGGCATTCCTGGGTCTAACTGGGACTCGGTTCCTCTCCTGCACGGTCTCCCCTCTCTTTCTGTCCAAATGCCTCCCCCCCCTGGCACGGCCGCCTGTGCTCACCTGGGGCTTTAGCTGACAGACCGTGGGGTAGGTATTCGATTCACTGGCGGGTCAGGTCTTCACAGGTCGATGCCCGAGGCGACCAGGTGTGGCCGGTGTGTTGTCGAGAGCTCCTTGGACAGCTGGCCTGAGGGCCAAGTTTGGAGGCGTCCAGGGTAGGCTCCAGACGGCTCCTCGCAGTGAAGCATGGGCTGGCCTCCAGGCGGTCTCTCTAGGCCCAGCGGGGGAAGCCGACCCTGTCACCATTTAGCAATCACCTCTCGTTCATGCGAAGGGCACGCCTGCGCCGTGCTCGCGAGCGGCTGGCGGAGAGCCGGCACCCGGCCACAGGGGTGAGGCTCTGATACTAACTCGTGTGGCTGTGAGCAGCGGGTAACCTCGGGTTACTGGCCGCTGTGTCCACCTTTCCTTGTGAATAGTGTGGGTTATGTTTTCGGGCGACTCCCTGCTCTAGGCCTGACTTGCTCGCTCGCTCGCTCCTCCGCATCCTCCTCCTCCTCCTCCTCCGCCGCCTCCCCCTCCGCCTCCTCCTCCTCATCACCAACATCATCATCATCATCATCATCATCATCATCATCGTCATCACAATCATCCGCAGAATCATCCCCTTAACCGTCATCATCATCATCCTCGTCATCCTCGTCATCATCGTCAACATCGTCATCATGATCATCATCATCATCATCATCAGCAGCAGCATCAGCATCATCATCATCATCATCATCATCATCATCCTCATCATCATCATCATCATCATCATCATCATCATCATCATCAGCAACAGAAGCAGCATCAGCAGCAGCAGCAGGAATAGCAGCAGCATCATAAATCTCCGATTCGGTGTCATCATCATCCTCGACATCTTCCTCATCTCCATCTCTATTTCCGTCTCCAACGTCATCAGCATACCCAACGTCATAAACAACAGCAACCACAACAACAACAGCAGCAGCAGCAACAGCGGCAATGTCAGCCAGATCGGAAACATCCTCAGCAGCAGCAGCAACCGCAGCATGAACAGCATCACCATCGTCATCGTCATTGTCATCAACATCATCAGCATCATCAGAAAAATCAGCATCACATTCAGCATCATCAGCAGCTGTCACCGCCGCATCATCAGCATCGCCATCGTCGTCATCAGCAGCATCATCATCAGCACGTTCATCATCATCGCACTCATCATCATCATCATCATCATCATCATCATCATCATCATCATCATCATCATCATCATCATCACCACCATGATCATCACCATCATCATCACCTTTACCATCATAATCATGATCATCAGCAGCCTCATCATCATCATGAGCGGCATCATCATCATCATCATCATCATCATCATCATCATGCTCATCATCATCAGCAGCATCATCAGCATCGGCAGTTTCACCGTTATCATCATCACAACCATCATGCCCCTCATCCTCCTCAGCATCATCATCACTATCAGCATCAGCAGTATCAACATCATCATCAGCAGCATCAGCATCGCCATCAGCATCAGCAGCATCAGCAACACCATTGTCATGATTAACATCATCAACATCATCTTCAGCATCATCAGCATCGTCAGCATCATCACCCACAACAATATCAGCATCAGCAGGATCAGTATCATCATTATCATCATTCCCATCATCAGCAACATCATCCGCATCAGCATCAGCATCATCATCACCATCACCAGCACCTGTACCATCATTATCATGATCATCAGCATCAGCATCATCATCAGCATAAGCAGCATCAACAACATCATTGTCATGATTAACATCATCAGCATCATCAGCATCATCAGCATCATCATCCACAACAATAGCATCGTCATCAGCAGGATCAGCATCATTATCATCAGTACCATCATCAGCAACATTATCCGCATCAGCATCAGCATCATCCTCATCATCAGCATCACATTCGTCAACCAAACCATCATCAGCAACAGAAGCCGTATCACCTTCCCCGTCGTCGTCGCCGTCGCCATCGGCGCGTCGACGCCGACATAACCACCGCCAGTCACAAGAATACCAACATCTGTAGAATCGGCATCAGCATCATCATCATCATCATCATCATCATCATCATCAAGATCAGCAGCATCAGCATCATCATCACCATCCTCACCATCAGCATCATCGTCGTCATATGCATCGTCATCAGCATCGTCAACACCATCGCATTCATGATCGCCGCCATCACCATCGTGATCGTCATCAGCATCATGATCGTCGTCATCGTAATTGCCATCGTCATCAGCATCAGCCTCACCACCAACACCGCCACCACCAGCATCAGCGGCATCGTCATCGACATCGCCATCACCGTCATCATCGGTATCGATATCGCCATCGCCATCGTCATCCTAACCCGTGTCAGCAGCATCAGCCTCTCCAGTAGCGTCATCATCATCATCAGCGTCATCATCATCAGCATAGTCATCATCATGATCAGCACCATCAACATCAGAACCATCCCCGTCAACCATCAGCATTGCAGTACTCATAATGACCAGCATCACCATGAGCACTATCAGCATCGCAATCGTCGTCATAATAACGAATATTGTCGGCATCGTCCTCATCATCATCAGTATCAGCAACATCATCAGCATCATCATCATCATCATCGTCAGCATCATCATCATCATCATCATCATCATCATCAGCATCATCATCACCATCATTGTCATCGTCATCGTCATCGTCATCGCCATCGCTATCATCATCCTCATCATCATCAACATCATCAGCAGCATCATCATCAGCAGCAGCATCGTCGGTGTCGTCGGTGTCCTCGTCAACAGCACAATCATCGGCACAAGTATCAGCACAATAACAACAATAAGATCAATCATAACAATTGGCAGCATCAGCATCATCATCAACATCATCATTATTATCATCCTCATGGTCAGAATTGCCATCGTTGTAATCACCGCCGCCAGCATCATCGTCGTCATGAGCACCCCTGTCTGTATCATACCATCATAACCAGCATTGTCATCGCCATCATCATCAGCAGCTGCATTAGCATCAGCATGGTCATCGTCGTCGTCATCGTCAGCAGCATCATCACTATCACTATTATCGTCAACCTCTTTTTACCCATCACCCTCAGCATCATCACCAGCATCATCATAATCGCCATCATCTTCCTTATCCTGCCACTCATGCCAAGGTGGGAGGGGAGAGGAAGGGAAGGGCGGGGGGCAGGAGAAGCAGGAGGACGGCAAGGATGGAGAGGATAGAGAGAGGGCAGTGCAAGGAAAGGAGCAAGAGCAGAAGATAAGAGGTGACAAACCGATTGGGGAAGATGAAGGTGAAGCTGCAAAAGCCCTCCCGCTCTCTTCCCTCTCTCCTTCTCCCTCTATCTCTCTCTCTCTCTCTCTCTCTCGTCGTCGCCCTCCGCCCCCGTCGGATCTCCTGGCCCCCGCCCCGAGGCTACCCTGATGACCTGGCCCGCGATCTCGTGTCACAGTTTCCGCTTAGCCCGCGCCACCGTTTCCGCCAGTGGCGTGTCAGTGGGCACCGTTACTTCCTGAAGTAACTCGCAGCCTGAGCATTGCTTGGACATGTTTGTTTTGGCGCTGAGGGCGCTGAAGGATAAGGAAGAAAAAAAGAACAAGAACGTCGAGGGCCACAAGGAGGAGGAAGAAGAGCAGGGGCAGGAGGACGAGGAGGAGACGA